CCTCCTGGTTTCCTTGCATGCTGCCTCTGATCCTTCAGGCAGCCAATCAGAGCGTCATCTTTCCCGAGTTTCCAAGTTGTCCACACTGGCATTCCTCACTACATCCTGAAGAAGTGAAGGCCTCAGTTCAGCTGTGCACACTGTGTGTCTGTCTTGAATTGGATGCTCCTTTGCACTTAATACCTAGACGTCACTTGAGCAGGCGCACAGGTGACCTGGTCACTGCCTTTCTCACAATGGTGAGATGCATTTATACTGTAGTTATATAAATGTTATTATCCCTTAGGTTGGACTTCTATTTTACATATGCAAACTGTGTTCCAATGGTCTCTTTTTTGGTGATGTATCGCTGGCTGCCCTGGAGCTGTGGTTTGCATGGAGGCTTAGCTCTTTACTCCTTTAACAGCTTTAATAGCAGCTTTGGGATTAGGTTCGTGATGTACAAAAAAGGACAAACCACAACCCTGATCCATATGTGAGACATAGTGAAGGATGGGCTATAACAGCTGTAAATAAATAAATAAATAAATAAATGTGATCCCTTCTGCAGTTGTTTTATTTTTTAACTGCTTGTAATCCATCTAGAGAATGCTTGTTATTGGGCGAAAATATAATCAATACATTTGACCTGTCAAATGGGAAGCTAGGGGAGCAACCACTGCATGTGAGACAAATTCCCTTAACACATCATGGCAACAAGGCCCACCTGCCTGCAGGGAGTCCCCTGCCACCATCTGGAGGCTCCCGGTCCTGCTTTCCACCCTCCTTATGGTTCATCTGCCCTGCCAAGCCTGCAAGAAGCATAACGAGAGGCTGGATGAGCATTCTGCTTTTCTCGGGCACTTTAGTCCTGGGAAGTTTTGCAGAGGAGGTCCGAATGCAGTGGCAAATGCGTCTGCAGCAGTGGTACCTGGGCGAGGAGGAAGGGGTGCACAGAGAGGGCCCCTTAAGGAGGACTGCCTGCCCAAGCCTTCCCCAGGGTGGCAGACAAAGTGAGTCTGGACCGAACTGCCCAGGAAGCCTTATGGCTTAATGGGACAGGATAAAAATCTAGCCTAATAGATAAACTGTGAGATGCTCTTCCTTAGTAGATCTGCACTGCAGCATGATAAGGGCTGAATCCTAGGCAGACTTGGACAGAAAAAAGTCCCATAGGATTTTTTTAAACCTAAAGTTACATATGCTTACATCCTAAGGGATTTCAGATGGCAGCGATTGAGATGCAGCACTGATGGTGCTTCCAGATGAGACTTTCAGTACACAATCGCTCAGCCTCGAATGCTCTATCTTTCAACTTTTTTCTTGCCATAAAGAACTGCTAAGGCTGAAAAGAAAGAATTGCTTCATAATGCCTTTTCACCAGTAGCGCTAGGAGTCCACTTTAGCAACTGGTTTTCTCATGCGAGTAACTCCTGGGACAAATCTGATGTTATGCTTTGATTCTCTTGTTATTTTACTTCAGGTCTTAGAGCCAAACAACACATGATCCTAATCATATCCCCCGAAGTTTCAAGCTTCATTTCTCAACTCTAATGTTAGACTTAAAGAGGGTTAACCCTTTTCTCCCCTGCTGCAATCCCAACGGAAAACACCACCCTGAGCTTTTCCGGGAGAGAAGTTAGCACTGCAATTAAGCCAAGCTTCAGTTAACTCGAGCACCTCTCATGGGGTCAACAGCAGTTTTAGGGAGAGCAGTGATCTATGCCAGAACTGCTGTGGGAAGTATTAACTCTGCCTCCCCGTGCTCTGTGATCCCAATCCTGAAACACCCACCCCTTTTGCTACTTACTGTTAAAAAAGAACTCAGAACCTGAAAATGTCCTGCAAGGTTTCTTTTTAGTGGTAAACTAGAAAAGATGAGATTGCATGTAGCAAGGGAAGGGCCACGACCTTCCCTTTCCAGCAATTCACTTCCCTGTGGTTTGTTTCCCAAATTCCACAAATTTCACTTCAAAGTTTTGCTTGGCTCATTCCAGTTTACATTGCAACAGGTTTTTTTTTAGTTTGTTCAAATGGGAAAAGTTAACATTTCAAATGGGAAAAGTATACATTTCTATGCAGTTTTTTAAAATATGCACTTTCCCCCATTGACAAAGAAAGCCATCCAATGTGTCTGCCTGTACCCATCCAAATTCAGAAAATTCATCCAACTGAGTGCAGGAAGAGCAAAACTGTGTCTTTTGCCACTGCTCACAAGGATGGAGGAGCTGAAGCACCAGCAGAATTTGAGATAAACCTCAATCTTCCCCTCCAGGCTCCTGGAACACTGGCACTTAGGATCTGAGAGCCACAAGGGCATTGAAAGAACCCTACTGGCTGCAAGGATGGGGAGTGGGGGAGACAATCCACAGCTGGAGTGGCAGCTCCAAGCTTAGAATGCATTTCCAAGCTTGGAGCTAGAACTGTCCTATCCTACCACCATCTAGATAGTGTCCAGCTGTCATAGGATTGCACGCTAAAGCATTTTTAATGTGCATTTGAAAGTGTGCATTTTTAAAAATGGAATCATAGGTCAGGATTGTACAAAGATTTTTTCATCGTTCCTTTCTGTGCTTCTGATATATGATGCAAATACAAATTATTATTATTATTACCACACTGCACTTATATCCTCATTTTCCCTGCTGTGCAGAACCCAAGATGGCTTATTTAATTCCATTTTACACTTACAACCCCCCTGCGAGGTAGCTTAGGCTGAGTGTGAGTCACCCAGTGAGCTTCATGACCAAGTGGAGACTACAACCCGCACCTCCCAGGTCCCCAGTCCAGTTTGGTCCTTAACTTCACCAGGTGAGACTACAGTTTTACATCCTTTTCTTGTCATGTAGATGCTGAGCTTTTGTGCCTTTGGACACATTTACAAATAATATGTTATGATGAGAGGAGAATGTCAGTGCAAGCACAATTCTTATCATGCTTAGCAAAGCGAGACGTTTTGGGAAAGGCTGGTGGTGCTTTTGCTTTGAATGCAAAAGGTCTCAGCTTCCGTTCTTGGCATTTCCAAGTAAGGCTGGAAAAGGCTCCACTTGGGGAGCATAAAGTGCTGCTGCCGGGCCATGTGCTCAGCCACATGAACCAATCTCCTGACTCATCATGAGCAGCTTCTCCAATGCTAATATTTTCCCATGTACACCTGCATCTGGTACAAGATTTCCCCCTTGAAGAATAGGTGAAAGAGAAAACATTCTTTTCCTCCAGAAAGGACACACACCAGCAGTGAGTGAGGTTGCAGCCCAAAACAAGTGGCAACACTGCCAGCATGCGTGGGCCCCAACACAAGCACACTCCAGCACATGTTCACTTGCGTGCACACCATCCATACAAACATACACATTCACTTTCACAGCAGACATGGATACATGGTGGGTCAGATAGGCCTGTCCATCACTTCTGCTCCCAGGAAAGCCAAGGGGTGAGCAGGGCGCCAAGGAAGCATGGCCTCACGTTGCTCTCAGCCCCTTGAAGTGGTAGCTCCCCAATGAGCCAGAAGAGACACCTTGAGGCGAGGATGGGGCTTTGGGGAGCAGTCCGGATAGAGGCCTTTGCCTGCTGGATGGGGAGATAGATGGTGGCATGAATTTTGCTTGCACACTGGGAATTCCTCCGACCTGGAATTCCATTCCGCTTTGGAGGCCTTCTTCTGCGGATGCTCAATGCAATGGCAACTGGTATGAAGAGAGGGCTTTTTCAGTTGCGGACAAGCACCTCTTGAGGGGAGGTATGTCGGTGGCCATTCACACACCAGCAGCAAACATAGCTCTGTTTTCTCAAAACTTCATCATTAATTTTGAATGCAACCATTTTGGTGAGGTGTTCATGTGTGTTCTCAGGCTTAAGATCAAAGCCTCAGTTGGCACTCTGCGAATGAAAATGAGGGTCCCTGAAGGGCTGCTTAACCACATTTTGAAGTTAAATGAGGTAATATGCATGGCTCTTCTTAAATAACGGAGCTCTGTATTATTATTAAGTCTAGAGTCTAAAATTACCCAAACGCACCACTTTGTCTAATTTCCCAAATCTTAAGAGGCTAGTAAGTGTGGGGAGGGGATGAATAACTGCTTTAGGATATTGGTGCACTTATGGTGCACTTAAATCAGTTAAACAATTTGTGGCGTGCATGTGTGTGTGGAAGATAACACCCCTCCACAAAATGCCAGGGTCTCAATCCATCCCAAGCCAAGACCAGCTCCCTGTGTGGCGTGGGTGGGAGAATGAAATCATCCTGTGCTCTTGAGGTCAAATTGCGCAAGGAAGCACAGCTAAAATAACGACTGCAGTCGGGGAAGTGGAAAGCGCAATGAAATCCGTGGTGTGCAGAGAAAAAAGTGGAGGCAGCAGATGAGGGTGTAAACTGAGGGAGGTAGGAGCCACGAAGTGCAAAAAATGGAATGCTGGGAAAAGAAAGCGGGAAGAGAGGAAGTGCAGAGAGTGCGCTATGGGGAGCGGGCAGAGGAAAAGGGGGGTCACAAATATGGGGCTTCATCAAAGAGACGTGCAGGTGAGGAAACAAGGGCGGGTGAGTGAAAACGAGATGTGGGTGTGAATCGTGCAGGCCTCTGGTGATCCAGGGAGAGAAAACGAGAAGAAAGGCGACGCTGGGAACGGGCAAAGGAAGCAGGAGTTCACCAAGGGGCGGGGAGCGCCGGGCTGTGAGGATGCCGAGAAAGAAAAGGAGGGGATAAACGGGGTGCAGGCGCTACGGGGCACCCCCGGCTAAAATGGCAACCCCGCCGCCTTTCCGCTATGCGCGCAGCTGCTCTCCTGCGTTAGTCAAATGTAAAAAGCGGCCCTCGGAGCGTTTCGAGTTGCGCATCTGCGCTCTGGCTGGTTGGGGGGAGGAGGGGGCCGGGCGGGGAGCGCTGGGGGAGGAGGATCGATGTTGCGGCGGCAGAAGCGGCAGGAGGAGGAACTGCTGCTGGGAGCCTGCAGCCGGGCAATCCGCCGCCGCTTGCACAAACGCACGCGCGTATACGGCCTGAGCTTGCCCGGGCTCCTTGCCGGTCGCCCGGCGTTTGGCAATCCTTACCCCGTGGAAGAGCAGGAGGAAAGTCCCTCTCCGCTGCCAGGGCTGCTTAGTTTATGGCGCTGCAGCCGAGCGTCTGGGAGGTAAGTTTCCTCTCTCGGTATCATCGCCTCTCTCATTCTAGCGGCTTGCAGAGGGAGCCGAGCACGAGCGACTGCGGGATCCGGCTGCGACAGGGCAAAGGAAAACGGAGTTTCCCCTCGCTGCGCTGGCAACGGCAGGGGGCTGTTTTTCCCAAGTGACGTTTGCGAGGCAGCGACAGGCGCCCATTCATTCTCAGCAGGTACAGAGTTGCATTGTGTGTGTTTGCGTGCTGCCTTTTGTGCCGAAACGGCGCACGCTGAAACCGAGCAGCGGAGAGGCAGGAGGCAAAACTTTCCTGCAAGCCGAAGAGGAGATCAGCCGCCCCGGACTCCCATCCGAGGCCGAGGGATTCGGTTTGTAGACAAGGAGCGGCGGGCGGCGTGACTCGCTTGCTCTAACAGCAGAGTTGATGTGAAACGGAATCCGTAGCACCAGCGTCACTTTCTAAAGATTAAAACAGGAAAACCAGCTTTGCGCTAGCTGTGCATTGCATAGGCGTTTGTTCATAGCCTTATGCACATGTTACGCGCATTATGGGAGCGTGAACAACGTCTGCCCTAAAAGAGCAAAAGGTATTCTTTGTTCGGCTCCCAGGGGGTTGCACTGAACCGAGCACAATGCCTTACCTTTAATTAAACGCCGCCCGCAAAAGCAGAACGTTGACCAAAAGAAGTTACTGGGCATTTCTGGTGAGTTTTACTAACTTGAAATGCACACGACTGACAGGGATTGGCTGCCTGTGAACATCGTTCTTAGATCAGCGGAGGTTATAAGTATTTTCGCAGAAGCACATGGCTTCTTACAAAGCAGAGAAAACCACGCACACAACCCATAGCACTATCCAGATGCCTTACAGGACCTTGAATTTTCCAATCTCCTTGAATTTTTAAGACCAGATTTCTCTAAATACTATTTTTTAAAAAAACTATCAAAAGTCAGAGAAAATTGAACTTAAATGCTTTGAAACCTCAGAGTGTAATTGGATATGGTGAAATTACCTTATTCCATATTTAAAAAAAAAACTTGGCAAGATTTCAGTCCCTTTTCTTCCTTCCTGCTGCTGGATTACAGTATATGTAATCATTATTTAGATTCTTACCATTGTAGTCATTTTAAAGTTGCCATTATTTTTAAAGCTGTCTAGTTGCGCTTAAAGTAGCTGCTAACATTCCATCACTGAGGAGCTGGAACCTGTGCTCCTTTACTTGAATGCAAGTTCCCCTTGTTTATTGGGCTTCCTCACAGGTAACTATGCATAGGATTGCAGCCTTCTATGCTTTTGCCAGCCCTGTTTCTCATTTCTGTTACATCTGATATCAGAAAACTTTCCAATGTCTCTATGAATATCAAAGGCAAAACTTTACAATAGTTGTTTCTTCATTATAATTTTTTAGGCCACAAAAATCATTAACACAGGTAGGCAAGGCCATTGAAAATGTCGAGGTCTGGTAACTTTTGTAAGCTCATTTACAAGTCTTCCCAAAATTCCAGTACATTAATTGTCAAAAAAACTAGATTGCCACACTGACCTTTATACCTTGTATGATTTTCATGTATGATGGTGGATGATGGACTTGCTGAACCTCTTTTGCCTGCCTGCCCCAGATTGCAAAAGAGGAAGACTAGTGAAACACCCAGCAGGCTGCAGAGCGTGCCTCATGGGCTGCACTGAAGCTGGCAAATCTCCAGTTTTGTGTTACAATCTGATTTAAGCCCCATGTTTTTATGCAGGTATACTAATCCCTCCATCATGGTAATCCCCATCAAGGAGCATGCTCCACCTGAAATTGAAACATATTTAGACTTCCTTAATTTCAGTGGGGAGCTTAAGCTTAAATCTCTCCCATTGAAGTGAATGCACTTCTTTCCTCTCCCTGGATTGGGTCTCAGTCTCTCATTTAGGATTCACCTGCTAGTTGCATCTTGATTCTGGGATTTAATTTTCTGCTCTCTGGCAGAACCAAAGAAAGTTTATACATATGTTTATAGGCAACCTATAACTGCAGAGGCCTTCCTAGGCAGCTAAATTCTACTTAAGTGCTTAGAAACCAATGAGTATGTCTGTGTTGGTTTCATTTTACTTCTTCCAGTGGTAGTTAACCAGTAAAAATGTCATTGGAGATGTAATAGATAGGCAGGATCACAGTAAATTATTTACAGTGACAAAATGTACCCTTTGTTTGTGGACTGATGCGCCTTGGCAGTGAATGCTGCGTGCGGTTTATGAATCTGCAGTCTGTTGCTGTGAGAGTCTTAACCAGAGCATGTAGGGTCTGAGTCAAGCACATGGCCCCATCTAGCACTGGTTCCAGGGCAAGAGTCATTTCACTAAGCAATGGCCCCCTGGGAAGTTTTCCTTTGCTGGCCTCCTTGCAGTGAATGGGAGCAGCTGTGCTGGGGCACATGCATGGAGCTCCCATTCACTTCAGTGAATTTCGTGCAGAAGAACTAGGATTGGGTCCTAGTGTTGATAATTTACTTTAAAAACCTTCACTGTGTTGTGCTGACAGAATCCTGGTATGAATATATATACTGTGTGTGTGTGTGTGCGCGCGCATATATATTAGTGTATAGCCCATACTGGTAGGTTGCAGAAAATTCTCAACTTGGGATTTTATAGCCCTTAAATGATTATGGATTCTGTTTTCAACAGGATACATGTTTTAATGAAATGACAGACGCAAAAATGTAATGTGCATCTCCATTGCATATTCTTCATTGAATAATCCATATTTTACAACTCAGCATAAATTTAAATATAAAGTATGGCATTGATTATATTCTCAGCTCTAAAATACTGTGATCATGCAGATTTGGGACAAAGTGGATGCTAGTTAAAATGCAAGTTTTGTAGGAAAAATAATATTAACAGTGGTGGAGGCAGTAAGCAACCAGAAACTCAACTGTCAGTACAGAAAATTAGTAATTTTATCTTGGTCATCTCAAATGGTTTATAGCTGATGGAATTAGAGATGATGGAGAAAGCTGAAGTTGCAGCAAAACAAAAGACATTTTGAACAGGATTGTCAATAAAAAGCGGATCAAGTAGTTAATAGAGCAGGGACTAAATGAAGCCACTCATGTTGGAGGCAGTGTAGCTCTGAGTGGCAGATGCTGATGCAGCCAGAGAATGAGCATCCTGCTTTCTTTGAGCACTTAGAAACAGGTGTGCAACCTGCAGACCCGAACATCTTTTCCCAGCTCCCATTAGGCCTAGTCAGTACAGCCAGTGATGAGGGAACGTAGGTGTTATGGCCCTCCAGATGTTTAGGACTACAAGTTGCCCACACTTGAGTTACTTTGCTGGCCACTGGTGGAAACAGAAGGCTGAACTAGGTAAGCCTTTGGTCATCCTGTCCTGGGGATCCACATGGGTTTCAGGAAATCAGTGGGACAAAGTAGAAAGCTGACCTATTACAAGTTACTAATAGTCGACCTAATGAAAACATGACTAACTTCCTCTTGATCCTATCCATGACTCTTGTTCTGTGCTTGGAAAAAAAGCAGATGTTTGCCATATGCTTATCATTTCCAGGGGTGAATTAAAACTATTGAAAATCTGGCTGTTGACTTGAGTGGCATATGGATAGTGCAAATGGAGGTTCCAGAAATGGTGAATTGTAGTTGCTGGAAACAAATGTCTTAAAATTAATAGGCTTTGGTCATTTGAATTGTAAGAGAGCTGGCTAGGATAATCTCTGGCCTTTTGATGCTATTTTTAACAGGTCTTGAAAGTAATTTAATGATGGAAGGCAAGATGATCCCAGTAATTAAAGGTCAGGTAGCCTGACCTCAACAGAGAGAAAAATGGTATGGGGTTTAAATCAGCAGGGGTTTAATAACAGAAATGTATAAATGTTTGTTGCCCTACGGCTGGAGAGCAGAAGGGAAACATGCTTTGTTTCTGCCATTAGCCAGGGTCGTTGCTTCCTGGGAATGACATCAAGGCAAGGGGGAGACCAACCTGGCCCCTTCAGTAGCTGGAGAAGGAGCCATGGTGGGGCTGACCCATGCCAGAAGGAACTCCATTCAGCTGCGAGAGGCGGTGGCTTTGGGACTGCAGGAGGAAGGCAGGGGAACATCACATGGCCAAAGGAATGACAAGGACCAGTTGCTGTTCAAGCAGGAATCCCCAGGAAGACAAGACTGGCCAAAGTGGATATAAATATTTGCTTATAATTTGTATGTTTAGTTACTACATTTCTGGACTGTCTATCAAACAAAGCTTCCTGAGTGGGTTACCAAAACTAAAACTCGAAGATCCTGCTGCAATAAAACATAATATAAAAGCTTTACAAGTTTAAAGCAGCCTTAGACCTAGCCTTGAAAAGCTGATCTTCCTCTGTCTTTTCTTAACACTCCCCATCTCTTCTGTGTGTTTTTAGTTTATAAGCCTGGTGGCACAGGATCAGGGATTTTTTAGTATTATCATTGATGCAGGCCTCTTTTTGTGAATTAATAATTGTCTGAAACACAGTGTAAAAATGCAGTGTATAAATAAATCAACCAACAAACATGGGGGCACAGTTTATACCCATGCATGCATAATTTACAGTACAATCCTATAAATACATATTTGTAAGTAAGGCTTAAGGAATAAGGGCGTTTCTTCATATAGCCAAAATGACATCACCCAAGCAGAAGAAGAGGTATTGGCAGGCCACTGGGAGCCCCAAGATTCACAGATGTGTAAAACAGCCTTTAGAAGAAAAATCCAAATACAGAGGAGGGATACTGCTTACCCCTCACACAACCCAAAGAGAAATGATTTATGTTCAGTGCAAAGGAATGCTGGCATAGGGAAATGTGTATGTCATGACAACACACTCCTGGCAGTAATCCACCATGGAATGATGGCTGCCCAAACAACCCACTGTATGCCTGAAAGATGCACAGATTCACTGTGGGTTGTTTTCCATTCAGCTTTTTATCAGCATCTCAAGTGTAGAAATGGAAAGCTTCAGCTGGGAAATCACTTGGGTAGTACCTACTGTCTGAATGCAGGGAGAACCAACTTTGAACATTGACCAAGCCGGTTCCAGGCAGGACTTTTATTACATTGCTTTCCCTTGACAGCTGCTAAAAGGCAAGTTGTCACAGGAAGCAAAGGCATGAAGGAATCTGCTTGTGAACTGGAGTAGTGCTATTTTGCCCCCTTTGC